AGTTGCTGACACGTCTGACAGGATTTCATTGGAATGCGTTGGATTTCGCCGAAATCTGATACATAGGATTCTTGGTTCTGTGTGATGACGATGATTGTTGGAATAGACATCTTAAATTGAGTTAAAAACAACAGATGAGTAGTCAACAAGCTTCGAGTTGATTTGATTTATTTTTCTAGTAACATGGCCAATTCATAAAGCAATTACTGCACAAAACTAACTGAAAATTTCTAAAAGATGGCTAGAAACAAGAGGATATCATATTTCGATGATTGAGTATTGATAGAAAATCTTATCTTTGTACTGAAAAAGTACAGAAAGACTTGCCATAAAAAATTGATCGAGCCTTGCACGTATCGTAGTTTTCTTCTACGAATTCAATCTGTTCTACTTTCATTTCTTCCTATCTTCGTTTGTCATTACATCTTCATATTGAAAGACTTCTGAAATGTTTGTCAGTGCAGCCATTCATGAAGCTAAAATGTGAAATTCATATTCAATCACCTCTTGGGCTGCAGAAGAGATTTTAAAGGTGTAGAAATCTCTTTCGAAAACGAGAATAGCTCGAATTGAATATGTCTCCGTATATATATATATGTTCATTTCGCATATTTTCTGAATTCTTTGATCATCTGAGCGTTCTTCGTTCGTCTTCTATGGTTACTATGCTGCTGTCGCCCGCTTTCTGTTTGTCGCTTGTTTTTTTTTTTTTAATAATCATTATTTGGTGTCTATTCCATGCTCACATTCATTCCGCTACCACTCAGCGTCGAAACATGCGACGATGCATTCGAAACCTTATCTGAGTTAAAACAATGATTTTTGTTATTTCACACCAGCATTCGATCATTTTTGTTGAATGACTTTTGTTTTCAGCCTTTCTTGTCATACTGTCACAGGTATACTGAAATACTGCCATTCATGTATGTTGCCATTTATCAAGTCATTTACGGAGTTGATGTGCAACTTTAGTCATTAGAATTACAGCTTTTATTATTCTGGATCGTGTAGTGTGGTCTAGAAGCGCTTTCATATTAGTCTTTTCATGTTTTCTCCATTGTGGATGAAAATCGAAGTCTTACATTGAATCTATCACGTGCCATTCTCAGTCAGTTAGAAGAAATGAAAATAGACAGGATGAAAAATGAGATATTATAAAATCAGATTGGATTTCTTGGGCGATTTTTTGTCTTTTTGTTGAACAAATCTGTTCGCTTGTTATATGAAAAAATTACCAAGAGTATAATGCTATCTGATAGGTTACAGATTGCGAGCACAAAAAGAAACAGGAGAGCATCATAGTCACAAGTTAGGAAAACGTTATGTAACAGACGACAAGATTTTTAGAGATCTTCGTTTTTCTTTCCGGTCACTACTGTGTATAAAAAATAGTGGTGCTTGTCAGAAGGAGTGTACCTGTAACCGGGAGTGTCTGTACGTGAAATTGTGATTCGTAAGACAGGATGAGACGAGTAAAGCAGAAAATTTTTAAAGACAAACTTTCAGTCTCTATAGATGATGGCGAGTTCCCTAAAAATTCGATTACTCAGCAATTCAACTGGGTGACTATGAAGGCATATGCGATACTGGTACTAATTAGATAATGAGATGCCGAGGGATAGAGATAAAATGGTTCAAGTATTAAGCGCTGAATGAGAATGCTTCGAAATCCTGATGCCACAAATGTATTTCTAGTAACGCCAATTTCGTTATCAGAGTAGTGACGTCATCTGTATTGAGTTTTATAGTCGTGGAAAATGGAATTCGCCATGATCAAAATATTTTGTACCATTTGGTTCGGTTATACATACACATCGGCTATTTCTTCGTTCATAGGAGTCACAAATATTATTATATTTCGCCGTTCCTATAAAACGAATCCTTCTTTACATACTATTCTTTGTGAAACAAGCTGAGGACAAAGTCGAACACAGCTTTAGGAGCCAAAGAAAAGTGGTTGGCTATGTTGATCAAACTTGATTCTACTACTTACATTTTCCTAAATTCGATAAATTTCATAATTTGACCAATTATTTTCAAGGTGGCATTTTTGAAAAAGTTACATGGGTAACAATAACTGATACACGTTCTTTTGAACATGAATTTTTCAAAATTATTTCTAAATCTTTTCCTTTTCTTCGACAGCTGTCTGTGCAAAATAATGAACAACAAAACAATAAACAACATTCATCGACATTCGTTATATTTCCTCATCTTCGTCGTCGTAACCTTGTACTTGCATATATTGATTATGTTGAACAATTTCTTCTCAAAAGAAATACTCATCTACCTTGTTTGATGTATCTCAGAATCAAATATGAATCACTCGTAATCATAACAAATCATTTTATCAATAATTCAATGGAATTCAATTGTACTCAGATAAAATTTCTTTCTACAGTTGAGTCCTTTGTTCCTCCAGAAAATTTTTATTTGTATTTTCCTCAATTATAAATATTCTATTCTTAAAAAGGAAAAATTTGTTTTATATTAAAAAATAAAATAAAATACAAATGGTTATTTTTTTTCATGATAATCAACTGATCGATATGAAAATCATTGATCATCGAGAAAATAATCATATTACAGAAAGAGAAAAAAAAACGATCGATTGACTATTTAATGAAAATGAAATCGATTGAATTTTTAAAAAAACCATGCACTATGGGGAAAAAGAACTAAAAATGATAGTAGAAAAATTTGATAAAGAAAGACATTACTATGATGAAAAGGTGTAGGTGTGGCTGGATGGGTGAGAAAAAAATAAACATCCACACCCACACCCGTGTGACTTGGGAAATTTTTACGTTGTAGATCTTTGTCAGTATTGTTATGTTAAGTGTTCATCAAATAAAATTTTCTCATCAAGGAATATTATTTGACAAAGAAGTCTTAATATAAGCAAAAATATGTTCAGCTTTGAAATTATATCCAATCGTTAAGTTTTATTTTATATCTAAAATCAAACCAAAATTATTCTTTGTTGAAACGAGTATAAAATCAATTAATGCTATCATCAAAAAAGACATCCATCTAGATCCATGCACTAAAGCTTTCTACATTCAATTTCTCTTTGTACACTTTCTTATAGCTTCTCGAATTATATAATACTGATACCGAATTAGTCGATAGAACATTTCTGCTACTTCCAACAAAGATAAAAAACTGATGCCAATCCAAAGACCTGTCTGACCGCCAACATCTGATAGCGCGGTGATTGGTCCCATCGCTGGTGTTTGTGTATAATTTTCGACAAAAATCGATTCATGTACTAATTCAATAGAGAGATAATCAGACTGAATATGTGAATGCCAATTAACCGACCAATCTGTTGGCAATAGAATTTCGGAATTTTCAACAAAATTTTTTATATCATCCATTAACCAAGCGGCTGGTGCTTTCCACATTGATGATTTGACAATGAAATCCGTAATTGAACATTGCTGTGAACAATAGGAACAATATTCTTCAAGTAAAATTGATGAATTCATCAGAACAGTGGCTGCTTGAGTATAACATGTATCAGATATATTACATAATGGAGCTACGATGATTGTCTCAGTTTGTGATAGAAGAATTGAGCGAGCATTCCATTGTTTTGGATCGATACAACCGCACATGTAATATCTATAATCGAATCAGCACGTTTAATCATTTATTCGTATGTATATTAAAATATTTACGTGTAAACTTCTGTGCACAAATCATAGCACACATCTTCCGAGTAAACATATTCAACATCAGGATAATTATTAAACATAGCCTGCATGATTGGTGGTGTCTCATCATTACATGTCGAATAAGGTGCGCGCAAATAGAAAATAGTCTTCTTTGCATATGTCATTCGATGTTTGAAACCCGTGACTAATGCTCGGCCAGCAAATTTAATCATAGGAAATTGTGTATTATCATGTACCATTCCTATCATGCCAATATCTAAGATTAGATAGTTAATTAAATTTGAAACTTATCAAAGATTATTATACTAACCTTCTGTAATATAAGGTACATACTGATGGCTATGTACATAGAAATTTAATTCGAGTTTACCAGATCCACCATATTCATTACTTTTACGTACATCCGTCATATTCTTCAATTTGGCATTGAATGTATAACAAAGACCATATGAAGATGACGAAAATGAAGTAAAATCGGATGTTGAACAAACCTTATCATTAAAGACACATTTAATGAGCATTGAACTTAGTGGAAAGAAAAACCTATTTAATGATTCATTTTGATTGATTTTCATTCGAAAAAACTCATTAACATATTTGGCCTGTAATAATGAAAATGATGTTGTGTCATTAGTGTTAGTGATATTCAATTCATTTGTATAGTTTAGAAAAGGTATAATGAATTGATCATAACGAATCTGTGCAACATTGCAAATAGAAAACGCAGGAAAATTTTGTGGCCATTCGCTCACTATATTTATTGATGTCTGTGTCGAATATTCAAAATATCTGCGAATCGTTTGAATGACAAAGTACAATGTAATCCCACTGAATATAACAAACGAAATCGACCAAAAAATTCGATTTTTTATACTTTGACTCCGTGCAATGCCCGGAATACCATGAGCTGATGTATTGAGAGCAAATTCTTGTATAATTGACCGCCACTCATGTCGTTTTCGATCGGGTTCAATTATTGTTTTGTCAATTGGAAGGACAGTAGCTACATGCATGTATTTGTGTATTGTTTTTCCTCAAAAAATTAACAATCGAATGTTGAAAACTAAAGAAAAGAATATTGTTTGGATATCATTTATTTTTTCTTCAAAGAGACTATGATCATATCATCATTCATACGAAAAAAAATATATCGGATCGAAATTTTTCGCCAATATGGAATATCTCGAAATATGATACAACTGAATACATTGTAGTCTGTTATTTCAAACACAAATATGTTGAGTTTTTGACGTTTCGAAGATGCTACTATTTAAATCACTATAGAAATTTTCCTCAGATTTCCACTTTAGACAGTCTCTGAGTATTTATTCAAAGAGTTTTTTCCTAAACGATGAGACGCAAAAGAAGTTCTCTTTTTTGTAATTATTACAACGCTTCATTTCATGTCTTGAATCAATATAACAGGGTCCCCAAGATAGAGTGACTATGTTGTTCGATACGTATCCACAAGGCACTGTGTTCAAACATCGGTATTACTAGCCATGGAATAACTTTGGACAGATCACTAACGACTGTCTGTCTTGGATCACCTGTCCGATAGCATGCTGATTACACTGTGACATACATCTACTCTTGTGGCTAGTATGTAGTTAGCTAGTGTGTCTGAGTAGCTCTCAAACAATTGAGCGCAAAAACTCTACGTCAGAATGGCCTTCTGTTCAGAGCTACAGCTAGTATTAGTTATAGGGTAGATATCGGGCTATTGAATTTGTCATTAGGCAACATCTTATACAGCAAGGTAGCTGAACGGCTATGGTATTATTCCTTCTTCGAATATAACAGATGCGGCAGAAAATGCTGACCTGTCAGTATGTTTTGAATTTATTTTATTTTATAAATTGCATGAGGCTTTCCTTTTTTTCTACTGAATTCTCCGTTCAATTCTCTACAAAAATATGTAAAACATTTTATATGATCGATGCCTGTACAAAAAACCTATAAGTACTGTTTAACATTGATTCAATATAGTAGAACATTTTTTTTTCATATTTCCACACGTCTGAACATTTTTCTCAATGATTTTATTTTATTTTAATAAAACAAAACAACTTTTTGGTATTTTCAAGTTTACTCTTTTTGATGAGGATTTAAACAAGTTACTCAAATAAACTATATTCAATCAATGATGTCAAACTAGAAATTCTGTTTACATTGAGAATAATCACTTCCATACAAATTAAAATTAATGAAATTTATTTTATTAATGTTGATTTCTCTGGAGTTCGAGAAAAACGTTTTTGTAAAGAAAGAAAATCTAATTATTTAACAGGTTTGGATTTATATCAAATGAGAGAGCTTTTCAACGTCTACCAAACTACAATTCGTGTTCTTTTCTTTAAAAAAACTTTCATTTTCTTTTCATACTATTCGTTCTACAAGGCTTCAGTCCATTGTACTATTTACAAAATGTAGGCACAGCAATTTTTTTTTAACTGGAATAAATAATTGTCTTTATTTTTAGTTTTTATTTGGTGGAATCAGGTTTTTCCTTTGAAATGAACCTTATAGATCAATTATTTCTTTTATAGAGATTTTTTAAATTTTATTTCAAGATTGTTCCTTCTATCTTTCTCTATCAATGGTGAATTTTTTCACCAACTTCTTTAAGTATCATTTTCGAATCTTGTACTTTAGTTCTGAAAATATTGTTTTTTTTTTCTTCGAAAACAAATTAAATCAAGAATCAATATGATTATTAGTCTAATGTTCAAACTTTTCAAACTGACATGTTCGTTTGTAATAATCTGATGTGGCTTGCATCTCAGATCACTTTTAACTGTACAATAGATACGACTGCTATTCAGATAGTGCGTCGTAAAAATGTCGAAAAAAGTTGTCTTCCAGTAAATATTGAATTTAAATACTTACAGTTTATTATTCATCCTTCTATATTTTCCCAATTCGATATTATTCCTTTCGACATTTATACAGTCAAATATTCAGATAGTACGAATCGACTTTGATATATTGATAAAATCAGTCATGTTTTATTAATATTTCTAGTCAAAAATTTTACTGTCGGTCAATCAACAGCACTGATTACTTATGTAATTCTTCTTTTTTTTGACTTCAAATTTTTGCAACTCTTCACTTTTTATTATGTGAAACGCTTTCGAAAAAAAAATCGAGTTTTATGAAAAATTTAATAATATATCATTTAAAGCAAATATTATATTCAAGAGTTGAAAAGAGAAAAATATAATCTTTTACTTAAAATAATATCAAGAGCTCGTTGATTATTAAGTATTCAAAGTATAAAAACAAAGAGCTATCAATCTTAGCCGAACAGAACCAAATACGTATTAGGGTAAAACCTTTCCTAATCGTTTCGATTTAACATTCATCCCAGAGAAAATTTGAGTCTTTTTTCTCAGTCTTTTTACGAATTCAACCTTCATACATTCTTGTAGAACTAAATAGAGACGAAAACTAAATCAAATGATTTAACAATTCTTGACGTGAAAAGTACATTAGTTCGACTATTGCTAGTATTTTCATTTAAAAAGAAAGTCAGTCTCTGTTGATTTATTCTAAGGTTACTAATTTTAAAGGAAATAGATATGTGTCCAGCTATTTTGCATAATTACTTCTGTTTTCATCGACCTAGTAGGATTTTCTAGTTTTATGTAATATTCAAAACTGCCGAACGGGTTGGCAATATTTTGTATCCTTCCAATGATTGTATGAATACAAATCTGTCATTGTTATAACAAATATTTGCTGCTCCGATTTCATGATCAGCATTACAGTTACTTACAAATAAATGTAAATGCAATTATTTATTAGTTTTCTATATATCATAATTCGCTAATTGAGATGATAACTGAATTTGAAAAACTAAATATTGAATCTTTTTAATTGAAAAGCTGTGAAATCGATCCTGTCAAGATTACGGATTACTAACTACAGTTCACATCAAGCAATTGAGATAGAGTTCGATAGAAAATAGGAGTTTTTCTCCTTTAAGTATATCAGCATTAATTAGATGAATTCAGAAACTAATACCATCACTTATCGATAATAACGAACATTTCTTTAAACCATGCTCAAGTTCTAATTCATATTATAGTTCTTCTTGAAAGCTGCCAGAATTTTTCTAAAACGATAGATTTTGCATGAAGATACATACAAAAATCTAAGTGAAACCATATACAGGATGTGGATAAATTTGGTTTGTGACAATGAAGGAATTTTCTTATTTATTTCGGTGTCTGAAACTAATTGTATTTTCGCAATTTTTAATTCTCTTTTTTGTATCGTTAAGAATCTCTTCAGATCTAATCTAACTGTTTTACTAGTGAAATATTAGAAAGAAATCTCTTCAATAATTGTATTAATCAATATAAATTCATATGTGACTATACTCACTTTACATTGGATTTATCGAAATGAATATGTCGTACAATAGTTCTTGACAATTGATGTTCTCCGTCAATCTTTGTCGTTTTCTTTCCTTATGAAACTCATTTTTACACTACTATTCTGCAATATACGTATTGATCATGTTTTTTTCGCATTCTTAACAAGTATCGCATTGTATGAACAATATTCCCATGGGAACGCATAGAATTAATTAAGTTTATTTGCTATGAGCAATGTTTTTTCATTATCTCGAATCCTGAAACAATATGTATCAAAAACAAAAATGAAACGGTTAAACATGAGCTAATGAATGATTTGTTGATCAACTTGTACTTCATCAATAACAATTAGAAAAAAAGGTGTTATTTTGAGTTCGCCATCAATGAATCATTACCCTACGATAACGGTTTTTTTTGTGAGTCATTTGGGAACTTTAGAATGGTATAGAATATTTCTCTCCATATGTCACAATGAAATTTAATAAATACATGTTGAATACGAATGACATTGTCGCTTGATATGCACATCTAGGGCATCAGGAATGGTGATACAGATATCTTGTCATCCATATAAAAATTTCAAAAATTCAAATTTTCACCAGATTATTATTGACTAATCACTAATTGTTTTGATGAAAACAAAGTACGTCATTGTTGCTGACTCTTGGCAGCTATTTGGTATTTTTCAACCGAATTTGTATTGTGCCTTTCATTGATATCATGTACTTATTTATTTTCTTGCAATCGTTTGTCAATTATCACATGCAAGATTTTAATATAAATTTGCGAATAAGTCTTGAGGATAACAAAATGGAAGAAGTGCTAATAGTTTCGGTTTTGAAGTTTATCGGAATCATTCTCTATTTTATCTACATCGACATGTTTAAAGCTCAATTTGAAAGATCATCAATACTCGTAATTACTCGGATTTTCTTGTCTTTTGTCTTAGCATGTTGTTTGTTTTGCAATAGAAAAGGACGATAATCTTTAACAAAAATAACTCACAACATTGATTTTCTCCTCTATTACATATAACGATAAGTGATATAGTCCACAAGATCTCTCGATTCATTGATAAAGCGAAATCTAAAAATGAATCTTCATTCAATTTATGATTTCTAATATGTATCAACACCCTG